CTATCATTTATGTGGTAGAATACAATATTTATTTATTGCGCTATTGTACAGAAACATGACAATTTATATAACAATAAAAAGTTTATTTCACAGAAAAATCAACTTACATAAATCACATTTAAGCGCAACTAGCGACATCTATTGTAAAAAAAATGCATTTTCTTCGCAATAAAGCTGCCACCTGGAGGTCCTAGATAGAGACTTATTATTAAAATACGATAACGATAACTAACTATGTTTCGTCCAATATATTGAAAGTCAACAACCTTTCCAATTTTATTGTTTTCGTCTTACGAATTTTAGATTAGGTCACGTGTCCGGACGCGATCTGGCCACGTGTCCTGACGCGAGTTTAATATTTTTTACCCATACAAAAAAAAGTGTTCAACGCCGCTAAAGAAGTTTTCACTTCAGAAATGTCGTTTGATCAGATGTGTAATTATACCGTTTTGTTCGCCAGCTCCGCATTGGTAAATCTCGTTAACATTTTAGTGAACTCCTTTTCTTGCTCGGGAATGTTAATAATAAGTGTCATCTGAATAAATCAAGCTTAGGTTAAAAATAGGAAAAATATCTTTCGACAGTAAACTATTTGCACCGGTTATTCGTTAATTGGCTATAGCGAATTCTTTTATAAATAAGAAACAGGAAAGAAGAATACACATTATGAACAAGTTTTAATATGTGAACAGAATTAAATTTATATGTGAAGTCAGTTTGAAAAGTAGAAAAAAGAATGAATTCACGTATTCAGACAAACATTTTCAATAAGTACAGTTTAATCTTCAAAGCGTATTTTTAAAGAAAATAATGCACCATAAAACAATGGTGTAGATTCTGGCAGGATTCTCTAAACTTAAAACTAACTTTAATGTCAGTCTGTCCTTTTCATTCTGTATAGAGAATGACTAGGATACAGTTGTCAAATTTAAGTTTAGGTTAGCGGATCATGCCAGAATTGACACCAATATCGTCTGTTTCGAATTGGGTTTTTACATTACTAAGCCAAAGGCAAATCTAGAACAGCATTGAAGCAAATTATTCAAATCTACTTTAATCCGTGAAGGCTCGGGGAAATTTTATTACATAAATACGTGTATTGACTCTTATAAGCTATGTCTATTACAGACACTGTTAAGTATTTTAATCTTCATTAACAACAGAAAAGAAATAAAAATAAGTCAATCAGCTGCCGACCTTGACAATAAGTTGACAATAAGTGATATGCCCGTTCGGATAAATTACCTACTTAAACGGTGTTATTCCAAAGGTTTTTTTTATCTGTGTTCTACTGACCTTGCAATTCCAACAATATTATTAGTTAGGGTTATCATTGTTTGAGGAGCTCGATGGCACAAGTGGTTAGCGCGTTCTTTCACAGTAGTCGGTCATTGGATGGGTGACAAAAAAAATACTATCTCGAGCTCGTTCGTACCGAAGGTAAGTTAAGCCGTTGGGCTGCATTTGCAGTCGTTAGCACCCACAAATCCGCACTAAGCTTTTCCGTCCATAAGGAAGGCCCCAGTAATGGAGATATTAATAGGCTAAAGATGACGAAGATGATAAAAGGAATTGTTTAAACAGTTCTTTTTATGGGAAATACGTATTAATGACCGTAAGTTTTTAGGGGTCCGTATCCAAAGAGTTACTAAGTAACCCATTAACACGCCTCTGCTATCTGACTCTCACCGGCCACGTTGTTAATTTCGTCTATCCTTTTTGTTTCGGTCTACCTTTATTTCTTTTGTTTTAAGCTACCATTCAATCGGTATTTTTTTTATATTCCACTCACCTGTCCATCTGAAATCATCGTTTATTACTATAATAATATTCGTTCGCCCTAAAATAGTTTCGTGTTTAGATTCTATTGGCCTAATCAACGAAAAATTTATAGTTAACGTTCAATCAAGTAGGTACTTTTAACCTGACGAAATGAAATTTCGTATCAACTTCGTCAATGAAAGATCGCTTCAGAGTAAAAGAGTAGACGGTTTTAGACCTGGTTTTACAGGCAACTGTTTCTACTTCAAATTTTCACAAGCTACTAGTTGATCCAAAGCAATAAGAACATTTTAAAAGTTTTTAAAACAAAAATTGCTCTTATATATATATAGAAGCCCTTTATAGCTTGAAGGCAATTTTTGTATTACATTTTTTCCGAATTTTCTTTAGAAGATTTTTTACTTAAAATTAAACTTATGGCATTGTATAATCTTTCCGTGTTGCTTTATGTCTTTTGTGTAAACTATTACGCTAACAGTTGATATAAGATAGCAGTGAATAGATTGTTTACAGTTTCAAATGCATTTTCTATTAAAAAACTGTATCTTACTTTGTTCATCATAAGAGATGCTTATCTCTCTATCTAATCCATTTTTTTGTTCGTGATGTCGTTTGAGATAGATTAAAAAAGTATTCGTTCTCTACATAAACCAGAGTTATTTTTTACAAAAACGACCTTGATTTTAGTGTAAAAATTGTCATTAATGCGGTTGAATTGTGCTATTTGATTTGATCTGTGCGATAGTAATTTCGGCTGTCGAATATAAAGTGCCTACCAACCCAATATATCTACATTAATATGTATCGTTCTTTCTTATTTTCTTCGTTAGAATTAAATATTTCATAATCATATTTTAATAGATTTAACGATACAATTAAGTGTTTTTAATGAACATAGACATAATACATAAGTGCCTATCGATTGCAAATAAATCGATTTTTGATTGAGTTTCTAAACCTGGAATCTGATTTTGAACATTATTCAAGTTGTAAATAACTTGTCACTGTATTATGCATGTATATTTAGCTCAAAAATCTTTTCTCTTTTATGAGATGTTTTGTATATATAAAATAAAAACAAAAAATCGACATCTTCGTCCGATATTTAATGTGTTTTGTGGCAGTTACGTTGATGAGATAAAATTGGCTTTGTTTTGCATCAGAATAAACACGGAAAACCCAGATACAAATTAAGTTTCTGATGTTATAAATAAATATGTCTCTTAGGTACGGTCAAGGTTATGTTGGTGTATAGGCTTTATAATGATAAAGCTTCTATACATATAATAAAATGGTAGGAAATTCACTATGAATATTTTTTTAAAGAATACTTGGGGCCTGCTCTACAATCGATACCGAAGCCAAAAATATAGTTTTTAGATTTTTTGTCTGTTTGACTGTTTGTCTGTCCGGAATAAACTCAAAAAGTACTGCATGGATTTACTTCAAATTTGGCATGAATATTATTAAGAAGTCGAGTCAACATATAGGCTACATATTATGACGCTATCACCTACGGGGAACGAGCAGTGAACCTTTATTTCTTCAACGCATTCTGTAACAATGAATAACTAACCACGCGTACGAAGTCGCAGGCGGCCGCTAGTAGCTAATAAGAAAGGCATTCTTTGTGCTGATGTTTTTGACGTCGTATTTTCGCTTGTACATTTGACTCATACTCCAGTCAACAAAGATGGTGATTCACTTTTCCTCGTTTTAAGGGACAAAGGAAAAGTATTTATACTTATTCTTACAATTTCAGTTAGTTGTGATGAGTATTTTCTGTGCTTCCTACAATAACGGAACATCAGGTAGGTATAAGTACTTAGGTAGGTATTAAACTAAGTAGGTAGTAAATGTATTGATTCTGGACAAATCACAAAATTTTCTTTATCATTAATCAGACACTGACAAACCTCCTACTGAATTGTACTACGAATACTAAAAATAGATTTAATAGGTAAAAAGAATAATAATGACTTAAAGAAGTACCTGTACAAAAATATAAACAGACTTCATAAAAACAAAATCATAAATAATTCGACGCGGATCAGGCAGCAGACGGGACTCGAACCCGCACCCTTCGTAATCCGGGTGAATACAGTCATGGTGCGGGTTCGAGTCCCGTCTGCTGCCTGGTCCGCGTGGATTTTTTTCTAGTTATATTTTCTTTAGATTAAAACATCAAGCAGTGACATGCTTAAAAAAAATTTAATTTTATAATTATAAATAATCATAAATAATTTTGAAATAATACTTTTCTTTTACTTTAATTCAAAGTAAGTTTTAAAGTAAAATTTGTAAACGGCAACTCAGATCTATTTATTAGTTGTCGGTTCTATTGCTGTTAATGAAGTATTTTTTTATTAGGAGTTACAAGCTATGTGTTAAACGCAATAAAATTGCTGATATTCTTTGTGAAATATAGATATTGACTACGAAAGTAAACTCCACCTTACAGAATACCTTATAGTATTATTGTTGGTGGTATTGTGTTTCCAGGAATCCACGGGGTAGGGAATAGGATCAGGATAGGCATCGTGCGAGTTATACTCTGGCATAGCAAACGTTAATAAACCATGGTGGATAATCAGAACTGCCATAATATGTTTCTTTGCCAACCTCATTACATAAAAAATAACGATTTGCGAAATGCGAACCTTAAAAAAATATTCAATCTCACTCCTTAACATAATCCTTGTTCACTATATTTCATTGGTTTTACGAGTATAAGTAATCAAAAGCAAACTTGAGTATGGTGGACCCCTCGGTTGGAACGAACTTAAAAATAAGTAATTATGTAAAAAACTACATACTGTACGCTACGAAACAACTGACGGCTGTGATGGAAAAGTCCGCCTAGCCTAGGGTAACCATTTAGGAATTACAAAAGTCCTGACAAAAATCCTGGCATATGGAAAAACGTCCGGACTTTTTAGTCACAAAATGGTACCATTACTTACTTAGTTACAATGGTATGATATTTAAATCAATATGAACATTTATTATTCATATTCAATGTAATTTAAAAAATCCGTACAATTGACAGATCCGGACAAAGTCCGGACTATAGTCTTAAAGTCCAGACATGTCCGGACTAATCCGGACGGATGGTAACTCTAGCCTAGCCCCAATCCTCCAAGTCCGTACTCCGTACCGTTCGAAAAGGAACTGCGTTCCATTTATTGGAAAAGAAAGTAATAAGTAGGTATATTTACCAGTGTCCAGCAGTGAGGACCCACTTGGGGCTGATAATGGATCCACCGCAGGTACCTCCGAATAGTACTGCATGCGGGAATCTGACGTTAACAGGCTTCGACACATCCAGAAACAATGGGCTTGTGTTGCCCTTACCCTTGTTCCCGGGTATTGCATTAGCAGCGTCGGTATCTTTAAATGTGATGTATCCGGCATCGTTCTTTTTCAATGACTCTATTCCAAAGGTGCCTTCGTCTGTGCTCGATTGGTCAGCGATTATAGCTTCGCCGGGTAATTTCAAAGCTGTATCCACTGAGGCTTGTAGTTGTACAGTGTTCTGTGGAGTTTTTACTGCGTGTACATTTTTCGTGAATCCGTAATCTGGAAAAAAGAAAATTACTTAATTACAATTTATAAATGAGTTCATTTCTTGTTAAGACGAGATGAAATGATGAAAGATGAGAAGAAAGTGATTCAGTTCGTCTGTTTTTAGAGGGAAAACTTTTTTGTTGGAAAAGGTAAACTTTCATTTTCATGGTCATCAGAATCTGATAATAGGATACTGGAGTAATCGAGGGAACTTTTCAAAATTCTAATTTAGATTTTTATTTATAGTAATTTGTCTATTTACTTCATGAGTGCCATCTGGTAAAGTGGAACTGATGATGATGGCCACAGACGGCTATCACATTCACTTTCAATATCTTACAAATCAAAAATATCTGAAAATGATGCAGAAGTTCATGTCATCAGCTTAAGAGTTCCGGCTGCATAGAACCCAGGATCCAGCGCAATCTACAATTATCGGCACGCGACACCAGAATGTGATGCATTCATCAATAGCCTGTCAATTAAGTACCCACTAAGTTGCGTTTGCCATTGTCAACGGGCGGTTAATAGAAACAGCTTAAGTGTGAGTTGCAAAACATAGATAGTTCAAGTTAAATTAACTTTAACTGGTCTCGCTTAGACAGTTGAGTCTCACTGTTAAATTATTACCTGATTTTGACTATTGTCAAATGGCCATTTTTTACCTAACCGGTTTTGAAGTTTTTGCGGACTTTTGAAGGCACAATCACAATCCATAGAATAAGAGGAGGAGACCTAACCAGTACTTTAACTGCACAGCTAAAAGTAAGTTGGTTCAACTCACGCTTAAAAATTGTAACCCTTATGAGACAACACTTGAAGTATATACAGCCACACATCAAGTTACCACATTCTGTCAAAATTTCACAATATATTTAAAGTCACATGGAGAAATTTGACAGTAGTAGGTTATATAACGTAGTTAAATATTGGGGACGACTAGCATATAATACCCTTCGGCCATTATAGAAAACAGTTTCGAAAAAAAATATGGGCTTTCGAAAATAGTTTCGAAAAAATATTATAATTCTTGCATAGAAACTGAGCCATTAATCATCAATCTGCTTGATTCATAAATCAAAATATCATATAAAATGGGAGGCATACAAGCTTACGGCCAGGCTGATGGTAAGTTACCGCCATAGGCTATAGGCGCTTACGCTACTATAATATCATTTCACTTGCGCTGTTGCGTACTCTGGTCCCATCCCCTACGCCGTGGAGCCTTGGCACCTTGTTTTTATTAATATAATTACTTCATTCAGTCTTGGGGAGTGCTTTTCCAATGATTATTATTTAATAGGCTATTTAACAAGTTTTTGAAAACCGTTAATAAGTTTCGGTCACGTGACGTGACAATAGCTCAAAAATACTTTTCTATTTTATGATTTTTAGTAATATTAATAAAGGCTAATATGAGACAATTTTATGTGTATTTTTTTACTTTCTATGTACAAAAATGTATACTTCCAGACACATCTATCGGCCCACTTGGTGTTAGTGCGAATTCTTCACTTGAAACTGGTTTCGAAAAATGTTTTCTAAATCGACCAAGGGGCTATAATATGCATCTGCAGGTAATTGACAGCTAATGACGCAACAATTATCAGTGTAATAGCTTCAGCACTGGGAAAAATTACACTTATCGGAGAAGTAAATTTCCATGCGATTTTTTTGTCAAAGTTTTTTAAAAAAAGTACACTCGTCCGGATAATTATGTAAAGTGTGCACAATTTAGGTAAATGACATTGTGATAAAAAACATGCTATCGAGTGTTGAAAGTGGGGCAGAGTACATATTTATATGTATAGGTGTATATATCGTCTTGGAGATCGTTACTAATTAGTAGATTACATATACTGCAATTAAGACATATAAGTCTCCGATAAAAACAATGTGTGCGTCGCTGATTCGAAAATGACACACAATCAGAGGATTAGCAGTTTTGTGTAATTAGATGGTTAAGGCAACGTAAAGATAAATAATTGTCACTATCACAGATATTGCAATAAAAAAAATTATAATCTGATAAATAAAAAAGTGACGTTAGGTAGAAAATGTTGAATAACAACCATATAAAATATTAGTAAAACATATTTATTCTAAGTAACTGCACTGTTTATTAACACTAAACTACACTTCAATAGTTCAACTAACAACTCAATATCACAGGTTTGTATAAAAACTGAACTTTATGAATATTCAACAAATGGTTCCTTTTTTTCAAAACTCATTTTGCGTGTTTAACAATGACCTTTGTAAAGTATATTATTGATATCCGTTTAGTTTGCCTTGTTAATTGCATATAATAGCCACTTTACTTTAAATTTAAGTTGATGTTTACTCACTGTTTTTGTTAACACCATGGGATAAATCGGGTCTTGCGAATGCGCACGCGACGATCGCGGCGAGCGCGAGCGCAGACAACTGTACTTTAGCAGGCATGGCGCGGACACTTACGCGAAGCCACGCGCAACCGGCTATATAAGACAGGTTCGTGCATACGCATGCTGCCTGCCCCAGAGCTGTGAGCAGTGTTGCCAACTTGGATTTTGAAAAAGTCGTAGGCCCGTTGAGAAAATTACGTAGAATTGGTAAATTTTGCATATGAAAAGTACGTAGATCTACGTACTTTTTTCTGAGTGAAATGAAGAAGCTAGGTGAAACTGAATAAAACGAGTATTTTGTTATACAATTTCTTTAAAAACGGGACATAGAACAAAGAGTTCTTGGAGAAGTCGCTGCATTGGAAGCATTTACCATGATGTGGTAGACAGTTACCATCAGACACAGACACTGGTGGGTGTCGATTCTGGCATGATTCTCTTAAAACTAAATTTAACATCAGTCTCTCCTTTTTATTCTGTATAGAGAATGACAAGGATACACTGTTGTTAAATAGGCTGTTTGACACTTTTTGGAATTATGTTTTAAATTGTTAATAATTGTTCTATCACACCGAAAAAAAATGTATTTTTGAAGTTATACTTCTTTAGGCGCGTTATGAAAAAATGTTGAGAGTGAAATTTTAAGATGCGCGCGCATCACTGTAACACAAAAATTAATAAATAGGTATTCATATTTATAATATCAAAAGTATTTATTAATCTGGAACAACGGAACCAAAGCGCGATTCAGGAGACTACAGCGCCATCTCTTGACCATTGGTGTAGTAGAACCAAAAACCACATCTTTATTTTTTGTAATAAAGTAACAGTCATAGGTATTCATATTTAGAATATTTATCCACATGTTTCTAGTTTGTATATTCGGAATACGTGTTTGAGTTTCATACAAGTGCAAATCACATATGTTCTAATAAATTATATTCAGTAGCGATTTTAATTGAATATTTTGATTATTTATTTAATTTTTCAAATTAAAATTGAACTTTATTGACTGTGTCCTTTTCCAGACTTTTTATTAATTTATTGTTATTAATTATTTGCATGCAATTAAAAACTAATTTTAAACGATGCCAAAGAAGGATAACTTCTCACGCGCCTACATAAGTACACGCACCCTTTTTTTTTACCTAGAAGACATACAAAAACGCTTTTTATCTATAGACTTATCTATGCTATGACGTCAAAAAATTTGTAAACAAACACTCGCAAGCACGTAGGAAATAATTTTTCTGAGTTAATATTATAAAACATGATTTCTAATAGTTCACATGAAAAATATAGTAGTTATCATCATACACTTGGTAAAAGACTCTAGAAAAGTTGTGGTTTAAATTGCCAAGAGAAATAAACATACTTACACATGAACACATGTTTAAATCTTGCTAAATCCTGTAACTTCATCGACTGAAAGTCATTTTGTAAGTACTCATTGAATAATATTTAAAATTTAAAAATACAATTTTTAAGGTTATGAATGTACCTACTAAGTCAAAGAGTTTTGTCGTTTCTGCTTTCACAAATCCTGCGTCCAGCATTAATTTAGTCAACAAAACCAATAACGGGAACCTATTCTACAAGATACAAGAGTTTTTAGATACATCTTTATAAACAATAAACATTTGTATAGTTTTTAAGTAAAGTAACAGAAAATATTCTTCTTTGTTCTAGTGAATTAAGCTATTTTACAAATTTGAAAAAATTGAAGAAAGTACGTAGATTTTGTGACTGAAGTTAGTAGGTTTGCAGAAAAGGCCTAAAATACGTAGATCTACGTAAAAAGACGTAGAGTTGGCAACACTGGCTGTGAGTTTGTCTGCGGCATTTACACTCACTGAGGTCAGACTTAACGTCATCTTACGGGATGACCGAAACGAAATGGACACCTGATTGTCTTTTTTACTAGAAGAAATCAGTTCAAAGAATGTAAAGCTAACAAAGGCTATTATTATTTATTATACAAGTATGTTAACATTGTTATACTAGTATCGTGTAGGATTGAGTGGCATTTACAGTAAGTTTGAGTGGCTTATTGTTTTGTTAATAAAATTTAATAGCATAGACATACAACTTTTGCTTAACCACATACAGTGGACAATAAAATTTATCTTAAAAGATTTGAACGCGTCATATTTAATGTAGTTTTGATTTTAAGGTTTATTATTTTATTGAAACGAAACTTAGTTAAACGTTAACAGAATACTTAGTTACTGTTTTTATTGCCCTCTGTGCTGTTATATTTCTTGTATTTTTTTATTATTGATTAATTAAAAACCACAAACACTATTACTAAGTTCCAAGGTTTTTCATTAAAAAAACTTATTGGATTTAAGATATATTAGGTACTTCATATACGAATGTTTTTTAACAAACAAAACATTTTATTGTTTTTATATATTTCTAATTATTCTATTTATAGCTTCCTATTTTCAATGAATCTTTTACTTACATTAAAAAGATTTGAACGCGTCAGACATCTTGTGGTGTATAATTTTATTCAATGTGAAAGATTTTCATCATTGTCAAGAATAAACGTTAAAATCGTCATTCAATTGAGACAGTGTTTTTTTTATGTAAACGCTGTGTGCGTATTAGTTTAATTTGATGATATTATTCCTTATCACATGCGTTTTATCGTAATCTAATCATAAAATTTCTTGTTTTATTTTTAATTAAATAATGAGGAAACAATATTAAAAAAAAATATATCTGCAGGTAGGCCTGGTGCATTCCATATGGGTATATTTTCGAAATTCATATCAGTATTTCATTATTATAAGAAATGTTTGTATCAAATTACTGTACTGAGTTTTAAGGTAGTAAATATTCTCATCGAAACTGTTTAGGTATATAAGTTTTCTTAGAAAATAACAATATCTCATCAATATTTATCAAATCTAGTCTTCCATGTTGAATTATCACCATAATTCCTATGCATGTATAATTTAGAAAAGGCAATTTTGCAAAATTTTCGTTTAGAATATAGGTATAAAATTACTAATAGAACTAACAGTTTTGTATTTTTTAGGATAAAGTCGTCTTTAACTGAGGCCAAACTAAGGCTAGTTAAAGACGACTTTAATTAACTATTTGCCTACGTGGACTGTGTATTTAATCCCTAGACCCTTTGATCTATGCATCTTTTAATGTCAAATCTAAAAGATATATGATAACAGTAATACGTCAAAGCGTGTCAATCCAGCATCATCAGCAAGACAGGACGGTCACGAAATACTTTCGGGAACTATTCTCTAAGACTGACGAGAAAAATACAGAAATAGTTTAAATTCTAACGAATAGTGTCCAGCAGTGGCCTTTTTCAATGTTCTTCATTATCAGTCACTGGCTTACCCGTATAAGTTCTTAGCCTGAAGCTCAAGGCTTTGCCGCAGTAGAAGTCTGCGTCTGGAGGTGCGTCACGCACACCCGTATAAAATTTTAATTTCATAGGTTTACAGATCAATCAATTTGGCATTCACTTTGTTTATTTCAGTATACCACCATGGTTTTATCAAGTACTGTTTAAAGAGATATTTAGGTTGACGATGATTTTTAGTGGCTACGTCAACCATTATAATTATTTTTTGTATACGGAGTTCGAAGGAACACGGGTCGTAAAGTAATATTCGCAATGACCTGTCATTGGATAGGTAACCAAAAACTTATTTTTAAACTTTATACTTAAGCAGTGGGTCCCGGCTACAACTACAGTTGTTAGCACCCACCAATCCTCCGAGTCTCAGAGACGCCCTCTAGATGAGCCGATCCCTCAGGTTTGAGAGGTCTAGAGGCTCCAGACGGAAAGGGAGACTCCCCCCGTGGGGAGATGCCTTCCGCCTGGAATTACCTCTAGAGGCACTCGCCATTTCTCGGCTTGAGGTCCCCTAGGAATCTCGCTGTCCCCAAACCCGGTGACGCTGTAAAGGTCATCTGCGACAACAGCATACACACACTAAAAAAAAACCCACCAATCCGCATTAGGCCCGCTTGATCGATCATGCCTATTCCACCAATAGAGAAGGCCGGTAACCCAGCACTGGGGATATCAAGGGCTGATGATGACGACAATGGTAATTATGCTCGTGGAATTTGGTTCTCTCTGCCGACCCCACTGAGGACTAGGCGTAAACTTATTCCCCCTTATTAATAAACGAAGATTACGCTTGGATTAGTTACTCCATGTCTTGTCTCTGTTTATAGAATGACAAATGGCATTTGAGTGACATAAACAAAACACGGTGTAACTAGTCTAAGCTTATTCCTTGTTTATTAATAAGGGGGTTTCAGTTTTACTTATAGCAGACTGCATTGAGGTTAAAAAGTTCGTAATGCCATGCGTCAGTAAGCCCGTATCTGTCTTATTAATAACCATGATACCTACGTGAATACGACACGGTCTTCCTACATATGCATTATTATTAATGGGAGTCTTGCGCACGTGGTTCGTTATAAAATTAACATCAACATTACCATTTTATGATATGGAATAATGATGATGTTTTGACGTTTATTAAAGTGAAACATTTATTACAACGTCTAAATTTAGCGTTTATCTTTAGCATGTCGCATTACAGTTTTAATTCATCACCAGCCTATTAATGACACCACTGCTAGGGCACAGGCCCTCCTTAGGATGGAATAGGGGGAGATTTGGCCATGACCCCTCACGCGAGCCCTGTGCGGATTGGTAACGACTGCAGATGCAGCCGGGACCAACGGCTTAACGTGCCTTCCGAAGCACGGAGGAGCTCGAGATAGTAAATTTTTGGTCACCCATCCCATCACTGCGAAAGTTGCTTAACTTCAACGATCACCGCCGATCGTGCTTACCACCCGCGCCATCGAGCTCCTTTGTTTTAATTGTAAAATACATATTTCAAATTCCACCGCAGATTCGGAGGTGAAGAGGGAGTGAATTTGTTCTCACAGAATAGCACTGCAGAAGAGGTCATCACTGTTGAAAATTTCAGGGGTACGTCTTTATTTGTTTCCAGCAAAATAATGATAAGATATGAATAACACGTTAACATAGTCACCGCGAAATGCGCGGTGAAAAGTGAGTAAGTTTGTTCTCACAGAATAGCACTGCAGAACAGGTCATCGGTCATCGTTGGTGGAGATTTCGTAGGCACGTACCTACGTAGGTACGTCTTTAATTAGTTTCCAGGAAACCATGATAAGATGAGAATACTCAAGTTAGAGTTAAATTCTTGCAAATAAAGATAGGAAGTGACAAAATGGGAATTACCATGTGTAAAAATACTTTTAACGGAAAATGAATTTATATAATATAGTTTTTGTAGGTACCTATCTAATATGTAAACATGTTTTGTGTTGTGTGCGTTATCACAATACCTTCATTATGGGGGATATAAATGCACAGGTATATAATATAATTATTATTTCCTTATAATATCACGTGTAAGCCTGATTTAAAATTTGTTTATAACTATTGAGGTCGAGGATAAATTTGCTGAATACACTCGTCTTGAATAGGTTAACATTAATAATATTCAAAAATAATAAGAACATTAAATAAAAAAAAAACAGTAAAAAATAAAGAAGGGTTAGTTTTTAATTAGGACGGAATGTTAGTATTTTTTAATGCATTCGGGGGACTTTTAAGGACACCTCCTCAATACTAAACATTTTTCCGAATGCATTAAAAAATATACTTACCACGTTTTACAAGTAAACTAGTTTATTAATGTTATTAAATTCGTATATATTTGAGATGGTCACATTTAAGACCTTAAAGAAAGTGTTCTAATTATTACAATATGGGTTTATCCAATATTTATTATAATTTTAACAATATATGTATCCTTTGTCAGTTAGGACGGTGAAAGGATTCTAACGACACCTCGCACATCTAAATCGGCTCAGGTGTTTAGAAATTATGGTGAAATAAAGAATCATTTATGAACCCTGAAAACATTATACTACTTTTTATTGGGCAGTCGTGTTAAAATGGAACTCTTTCGGCCGCACTCAGAGACGACATAATGTTATACTTATTCTTATGTTATCTCAAAGAAAGTGACACTGGTGTCGATTATGACATAGTGCTCTAAACCTAAAACTAAATTTAACATAAGTCTCTCCTTTTCATTCTGTTTAAAGAATACTAAGGATACACTGTTGTCAAAGGACATCGACGAAATCGGCCCCAGCATGCTCAAACGAATATCCTTCATCATATATATCGTGATCATATATATATATATTATAGTCAACGGACATTCTGTTGTAAAGTAATAAAAAATAATAGTTAAGTAACTAGGTACAGTCTGTTCATTGAATCTCTTTTTATTGAAAATGCAGCATTAAAAATCACCTGAAAACTAGATTTAATAGGTTTCAGTCTATAATAACGATTTATTGCAATCTACTTTGTTATTATTTTATTTTTAAATAAAAGATTAAGATAAACATAAAGATCGATTTTGTTAAAAAGTTGTGCCAAGATTGTTTACCAAATACTACAAGTTAGAATGAACAGATCTACACAATTTGCTGTTATGCCATCTTGACAACTTTAAAGAGACTGTCTTATCTAAATTCAAAAGCTTCCGTCAATGAGATTCAGAAATGATTACAAATAAAAGTTTTTTTTATTAAATTATATTCCTTTTTAATAGATAGCCTTAATAAATGCAATATACGCGAGAGATATAAAGTGTACATCGTTTACGATTAAGTATAATAATAATAATCATCATCAGTGCGGATTGGCGAGTGCTAAGGATTGCAGATGCAGCCGGTACCAACGGCTTAACGTGCCTTCCGAAGCACGGAGGAGCTCTAGATAGTAAATTTTTTGGTCACCCATCCAATGACCGATCACTGCGAAAGGTTGCTTAACTTCAACGATCGTAGCCGAACGCGCTAACCACTTGCGCCATCGAGCTCCAATTATAACCTCAATATCTAATACATTCTGTAGTAGGCCACGGTTTCTCAAGTATTCCGTATTTCAACAAATGCCTAGTGAGAGTTTATGAATGATTCCGAACACAACTAGCATTTTCTCATTGTTGTGCGTTCTGAGGCATTCAATGTATGGGGAACGAGCAATGTCCTATAAGTTTATGTTCAGAGAATCATGTCAGAATCGACACCAGTATCGACTTTAATCGAACTTAAAAGTTAACTGTGACTGTCCTGAACCTGAACTGACCGCCACTTGCAGGTCGTACTCGTAAGGTGGAATTAACTTATCTGTAACATCACACGGGGTCTTTGGACTGGCAACAATCTCCACGGACAGTCTCTCCGATCGATCTGTCACGGCGTATGACTATGTATATGTATGAGCAAAGAAACGGTACAGAGACAAAGTTTTAAAGGAGCGTGCTAAATTCTTTTCTCTACCTATTTTGTTAGGGTTCTCACATAAGTTTAAAAATAAATAAGCAAAACCATCACCTTTTGCTTTGTATAGTTAGAACAAATGAAGCAATTTAATTTAAAAATTAGGTACTTTTATAAAGTTGGAAGGTACCTAGCGTCATTGTAACATAGGTAACATAATTGTGACATTGTGGGTTACCTACAATGCGAAGAGATGGCGCTGCCTTGCAGCTTAAGGCTAGGAAAATTTCGACGCGGCTAATAGGGCCGTGGTAGCATAATGGTCAGTGCATTCGCCCGGATAGCGAAGGATGCGGGTTCGAGTCCCGTCCGCTGCCTGGACCGCGTGAATTAGTTTTTCTAGTATACTTTTCTTTAGATTTAAACATCTAGCAGTTAAATGCTTAAAAAATAAATAAAATCATAACTATAATTGTTATTTCTTCTTTCAAATGTTTAATACTTGAAAAAGTATTCATTTGACATTGTAGGTTACCTACAATGCGAAGAGATGGCGCTGCCTTGCAGCTTAAGGCTAGGAAAATTTCGACGCGGCTAATAGGGCCGTGGTAGCATAATGGTCAGTGCATTCACCCGGATAGCGAAGGATGCGGGTTCGAGTCCCGTCCGCTGCCTGGTCCGCGTGGATTTTTTTCTAGTATACTTTTCTTTAGATTTAAACATCTAGCAGTTAAATGGTTAAAAAATAAATAAAATCATAACATAGTTATGTTTAAAACACACAAAAGACTTTCCGACATTCTGTATTCTTAGTACGAGTTTACAATTACGAAAACTATGATAGTTTTCGTGAGCTCGCACTCGTACTAAGGGTACTGATTTTATTGTTTTCGTTTCAATACAAATAAACAGTGTTAAAATTCTATCATTAAATCATTTGCGTCTTCTTAAATTTTAAGAATATTTGGTTACTTTTCACGAAAATGGACTTACAAACATAATTTACAATTACGAAAACTATGATAGTTTTCGTGAGCGCAAACTCGTACTAAGGGTACTGTTAATTAAAATTGAAAACAGTATTTCTTGTAGTGCCGTGCTATTCTGTAAGAACAAACTCATTTTTCATCGCGGAATCCGCGTGCGGTTTGAAATTAGAACACAAATTCAATATAATAGCACGGCTGTTCATGTAGAACCCACAGAAACCTTGATCGGAGCTTTCGCTGAAATTCTTTTTCGTATATTGCATTTTGGCGCCTCTTTCATAGGACGGCCGATCCTCTCGCTCAGGGTCAACGCTCTGTACGCGCAATGTTGTTGTAATGCCTCTCCAACACCTGCACGATATAGTTTCGGATGGCTGTTTTGGCACATTACAAAAGTGATGCTAAAGGCAATTGGTTATCGAAAAAAATCTAAAATATTCAAATGCGGGTCAACGAAGTATTATATTATTAGAATTTTAACCAATATTGCATGAAGTAGCTGATTAAAAGGATTGAAAAAAAACGAATATTTAAATTTTTTCTTACGCTCAGCGATCCTAATATGCAGCTATCTTACCGTTTTTTTTACATTTTGAATTTCATAAATTACAAATATTGAGTTATGCGGTGAATAAGTATATTTTAATAATGATATTATTTGAATTACATAACAGTTCCCAGTAATAATAAAAATAATAATACAAATTTTAACAGTTTCCGTAAGTAATTATACAGTTTAAACGACATTTTTATGCGGTACAAGTGGATAATAAAACCCATTTATATTTTTGATTTTGATTGATTTATTCTTGAGGTACAAAATCGGGTAGAGTTGTATGGAGAAAAAAATGATCCTTTGCGTTCGAAATGTGGAAAAAATGGTATAGGATAAGCATAAGGATAAGCAAATCCACTAGTCACTGAAAATTGAAATGACTTTTGACTTGATTAAATTTTACAGGTGTAAATCGAGAGGCTAACGCTACCGCAGCAGTTTACTTGCTCATTTAATATTAATAACTTATGAACTATCGTACCAATTGATTCTAGCACTGCTTTTTTCACAGCGGTGTTTTCAACAATTCGCTGGTGTGATTTGAAATTCATTTAAATCCATGTTATAATTTTAAATCACACTGCGGGAAACTGCTCCCATTTGTCCGAGAAAATAGCCGATAATAAGTAGCTTTCTTCCCGGCGGTGCGGTGGGACAACTATCTTAAATACTTAAAGGATAGGATGTAAATAAAAACATCTCTTATAATTGAAATTAATCTTTAATACTCTCTTCCATATCTACCTTTTCTGAACTGAGAAATAAAACTGTAGTCACAACAGTGCTTTGAATAATATAATAAAATAATAACTGTGGATACATTAAATGAAATCAGCTATTACAAAATTATATTGATTTAGTTTTATTTGATACTCCATAGTTTTCAAGTGCTTTACTGATAATAAATAATTTATCATAATTTC